TGACTTCCTGCCCTTTGGGCAGGGAGCTGCACTCGATGACCTTCCGAGGTCCCTTCTAGCCCTAATGTCTATGAAATCTATGACAACTCAAATTTATAAACCAGACTTTGTAAAAGGCTTGTTTTTTAGTGTCTGAAGTTTGTAAAAACAGAGTTATTTTTTAGAAGTTTTTTTTGTAAGATGATGCCTATCATGTCTTGCCAATCAGGTGATTAATAGGTATTTATACCTGTTTAATTCTGGTACTTTAAACACTGTAGAAATGGTTGGGGAAGCACTAGGGCAGGGGTGGGCAATGTTTTTGGCCAGAATGCCAAAAAAATAGTAAAGTCTACTTTGTAAGGTGCCAGAGTGCTGGTATGCCAGAAAAACAAAACTGGGGCAGAAGGGGTTACATGGTAGGATAAATTACATATTTATTACATATACATATAAATTACATATTAATATAGTTAATAATCATAAATGTTACTTTGTATGGTAAATACCATACAGCTTTTTTAAAAATTCTAAACCTGGTGACAATAAATAAAACTTCATATATTACCTTGGTTTTTGTGTATTCTTTTTTGTTAAGCATTTTATGGTAAGAGAGAGAAAAAGAAAGAAAAAGAGGAGAGGGTGAAAGAAAAAGGAGAAAGAGAAAAAAAGATGACTAAAGAAGAGAGAGAAAGAGGGTGTATCCCTCGCTGCCAATGTCTCCTACCACTCCTCCACAGTCCTGGAGTGGGTGAAGCCCAGGCCCAAGGCTGGGAGGGTGGGCCTGGCCAGGGCTCAGGCAGGCAGACGCCCTATCCCACCCAGACAGGGGCAGCACTGGGGCACCAAACACTGCAGCCAGGTGCTCGGGGCAGTGTGGGCAGCGCAGGAAGTAGCAGGGGGAGGTGCCGTGGCCAGACCAGGCTGGTCCGACTTCTGGAGCTCTGTGGGGATAGGGCACGGCTGCCCTGCCTGTGAGCGGATGCTGCTTGGCCAGGGTAGGATGGTGCGCTCAGGGAGCTCCCGACTCTGGACTTGGCCTCCCTGTGCACAGGCACAGCTGTGGGAGCCCTTGCACTGGGAGTGTCTCTGTCATACTTGTGCTGTGCCCAGCAGAAGGGACCTCAACAGATCGAGTCTGACCCCCTGCCTAAGCAGGAAAGAGTGCTGGAGTCAGATGGGGTCAGCGCTGAGAAGGCTGAGCCAGAAGCTCCCTGAGCCCCGTGTCCTGCCCTGGCCAAGTGGCATCCCCTCATGGGCAGGGTGGCTGCGCCCCATTCCTTGAGAGCTGTGCAAAGTCAGGCTGGGCCGGCACCTCATTTCTGCCAGCCTCTGTGGTCCAAGCCTGCAAAGCCCTGGAACAAGCCCCCTGCTTCCTGCCCAGCCCTGCCTTCCCAAGGGGCTGGCTGAGTCATTCTGCCTGTAGTGCCTCTCCCCCTCCACACCATCTTTCTCCCTGTGCTGCCCAGACCCTGCCTGGAGCGCCCGGGGCACATCCACCCACTGGGAGTCTCCAGCGCAGCAGTCCTGTGCAGCGCCTGCCCAGGCTCCAGTCCCAGCCACCCACAGCTCTCTCCGAGGACTGGGCTGGGCATCCCTGCCTGTGTTCTCCCTGACTCTGCCCCTGGTGCCTGCCAGTGTTGGGACCTGTGGCTTCTCTGGAAAGTCCAGAGCAGCAACTTAAAAAACATTTTTTAAAATAATTTCCTTTCACAGGTCCTGGCATGCTAAGGAAAACATATCTGTGCACCACTAATTGGCATGTGCCAGGGGGTGCCGATCCCTGCACTAGGAGGCAATCAACTCCGAGTGGTGTAACAACCCGCACACCATATTGTAGATTGTAGAATCTGATCCAGAGAAAGTATGAAGCCTGAAAAACATCTTTTCCTGCAGAATTCTCCTTACATCTCATTGGAAATCCTAATCTTCTATGCAGTGGTTTTCAACCTGTGCATTTGGGGGTCTGCAGGCTGTATAAGGGGTCCATGAAAGATGACTGATGAAAAGTATGTGAATACCCGTACTTACAGTACAAAGGGGTCTACACTTTCATTTGAAATTTCCGAAGGGATCTGGCACCTCCATACAACATTTTTTTTAGGGATCCACAAATGAATGAAGTTGAAAGCAACTGTTTTGTGGGACTAGGATCACACCTAGTCACTTCTGAATCATTTCACACATAAAGAATGAATGGGTCAGAGAGTAAAACAGACAGAAGGATCAGATGCCTTCTTAAGACTCTTCTTTTTATTAAAGATACCTTTGTAAAGAAATAGTGGCAGAAATGAAAGCACAATAGGCCAAACAGTTTCTAATTATAATATTTATCAGTTTTTCCAAAAAGCGTACTGATTTCTTTCCCCCTCCATAATTGGTACTGCATTGATAAAGACGAGCTTTTGCATTTTTTGGATCAGAGTATGTCAAAAGATTACAAGCACAATAGCGAGCCAAAAAGAAAGGTCTACAATTTGTGATTATGAAGATTGAGACAGGAGAGGAATGAGTTTATCAATAAATAAAAGACTTGCTTCAGAAGTTAGATGAATATTTGGATCCTGTCAACTGCTCAAGGATCTCGTTTAAATCTTAGTCAAACAGCAATGACCCTGTCTTGCAAGCATACCAATGAGAAATCTCTTAAATGCAGTAACTACGGACAAATGCTTAGTAATGTAATCCCCAAGATTACAGCAAAACAGCAATACTGGAGATGATTGCTTAATACAATACATAATATTGCTCAACCAAATCCATGAAAATAATAAAACCTTGATTCTTAGCATGCCAACAAAACAGAGTAGGATTTGTGGTCTTATAGTTACTTTGTTAAATGTCTCACCCAAGAGAAAAAGTCAAAGAAGTCAACTGCCAAACATTCGAAGTCTTTCTTTCACAGACATTTCTCTAGTTTCCAGAACTGTATCTGCTTTACAATCATATATCAGTCATCTTTGACAAACAATGTTCAGCAGTCTTCAATCTTTTTAGACTGAAGCCCCTTTTGTTTCACTTCAGGTACCCTTCCATAACTTTTGTGAACTGCACAGCACCCATTTAAAAAAAAATATTATTACAGTGCTTTTTCCTTGCAGAGGGGTTGGGCAACGAAGGTGGGGTACCAGCCAGGCAGGAAGGAACCTAAACCTGTACTCATCTCCTGACTCTTCACAGCACCTTTCAAAATGATCTTGTGGAAACCTAGGGTGCCCCAGAACCCTGGCGGAGAATCACTGCAGTATAATAAATGCATCTAGAACTAGAATGACACCACATGGTAAGTCAACAAACTCAGTGGAAAAGGGGAACTGCACCCAACTTTCTGAATCAGTACACAAGGAACTGAAACCACAACAATCAGTTGTCATGCTATTTGCCATAATGATTGGTTCTCTACTGTAATTTATCCCTTTTATATTTGTTCAGATGACGGACAACAATAGGATCAAAATCCTAGGTGCTACAATAAACATTTTAGTTAAATGTTTAACAATCAAATTATATTCCCCCCGCCCCCCACAGGAATGAAAAAGGAATAAAAAGAAAAGCTTACAGTCTGACTCTCAGGAAAATCCATCTTCAGCAATTTGTGAGCACATTCCTCAAAGTCCAAACTGCAAAGGGAAAAAAGCATTTACTACTCACATCCATTTCATACTGTGTAGTACACACTGCATTAAAAACACTTTCCAAAACAAGACTGATAGGAATTATGTAATTGTACACAATGATATTTGTCATTCTAAGAAACCATCATCTAATTCAGGACTGTTCAACTGGTGGCTAGCATGCTGCTCACAGGCCCTTGCAACAGACTCTCTCACTGCCACATGGCAGGTCAGGGTGGCCTGTACCACTGGCAGAAATCAATGTTGCCATATGGGGGGAAGGAGGGGCTAAGGGTGGTCCACTGCCAATGCACTATGGGGAGGAGGGATCACATACTACCAGGACTGCCTTCATGGTTAGGGGCCTAATTCTGGGGAGCTATGCACTGGGGCTATGTGGGCAGCTAGGGGGGAAGTGAAATCCCAGAAACTTGTCTCAGTAGTACATGGGCCATGCAGTTTGTGGCCACTAGCTCTGTCAAAGTTGGACAGTCCTGGTGTAATTTAAACCGTATATGGTCTCCCACAACATTCTTGCAAGCGAGCTAAGGAAGTATGGGATGGATGAACGGACTGTAAGGTAGATAACAAAATTGGCTGGATTGTCAGGCTCAGAGGGTAGTAAATCAATGGCTCAATGTCTAGCTGGCAACCAGTATCAAGTGGAATGCCCCAGGGGTCAGTCCTGGGGCTGGTTTTGTTCAATATCTTCATCAATGACTTGAAAGATGGGACGGATTGCACACTCAGCAAGCTGTGGGGTGGGGAGGGGGAGTAGTAAATACACTGGAGGGCTAGGATTCAGATAAACCTTGACAAATTGGAGGATTGGACCAAAAGAAATCTCATGATGTTCAATAAGGACAAGTCCTATACTTAGGACAGAACAATCCCTTGCATTGGTAAAGCCTGGGGGACCAACTGGAAAGGCAGCAGCTCTGCAGAAAAGCACCTAGAGTTACAGTGGACAATAAGCTGAATATGAGCCAAGTGTTCTCTTGTTGCAAAGACAGCTAATGGCATATGGGGCCATAAATAGGAGTATTGCCAGCAGATCAAGGGAAGTGATTCTTCCTCTCTTTGGCACTGGTGAAGCCACATCTGGAGTAGTGTGTCAAGTTTTGGGACCCTACTACAGCAGGGTTGTAAACAAATTGGGGAAGAGTGGAGCAGAGGGCAATGAAAATGGCTAGGGAGCTGGGGCACATAACTTCTGAGGAGAGGCTGAGGGAACTGGGCTTATTTAGTCTGGAGAAGACTAATGGGGGATTTGATAACAGCCTTCAACTACCTGAAGGGAGGTTCCGAAGAGGATGGAACTAGACTGTTTTTAGTGGTGGCAGGTGACAGAACAAGGAGTAATTGTCTCAAGTTGCAAAAAGGGAGGTTTAGGTTATATATTAGGAAATTTTTTTCCACCAGGAGGGTAGTAACTTGTTCCAGTGTTTTACCCAGAAAGGCTGTAGAATCTCCATCCTTGGAGGTTTTTAAAGACCCAGGTAGACAAAGCCTTGGCTGGGATGATCTAGTTGGGGACAGTCCTGCTTTGAGCACGGGGTGGACTAGATTACCTCCTGAGTTCCCTTTCAATCCTAATTTTCTGATTCTACGGACTTGTTACTGTTCAGCTACGTCAACAAGGTTAGCTTTAAATTCCTTTTCATAAAATAAAGGCAACTGGAGAAAAATCTATATACAAAATATAAAAAATGGTGGAATGGGAAAGAGAAGGGAATTCAATCCTCTTTAAACCACAGATGATACTTTTGATTTAAAATTCTCCTTTTTCCTCTCTCACTTAATTAAGCAGTGTGAAATATGTAATATCTTCCTTTAAAAAAGTATTCTTAAAACTAAAATCTTTTCAAATGGTTTTTTTTTTTTTATTTAACAACCTAATCCAAAGCCAATAAATGCTGCAGATGGACCAAAAATAAGATAACTCCCATCCGTGAGTCATTATTACTCTTACATCATGCAAAGCCTAGTAACAAAAACAAACATAAGTTTGTTTGTTCTCCTCCTGTAAAATATAAAAACATAAACACTACATTCAGACCTCAGAAACACTCATCATGTGCCCGGATGCTGTAACCAAAACTTCTCTACAAAAGCTGCTATCATGATATCTAGACACATAGATTTAATTTAAGTAAGCCACCAGCTGTTATGGTTGCAAAGAAAACCTACAAAACGTGAGCCAAATGTAATTAGGGTGAAGAGGAGTCTGCAAGCAGACTTGCATCAATATCTTTGAGAAGGCATGAACTGCTTCCATTTATCTCAATAAGGTATTAACTCAGAAACCCAGTAATAACTTAAATATAAACTATCTTCACTACTTCATTTCTCATGTAAGAAATAAGGGGATCACAGATCCACACGATGTATTGTAAGCAATGTTTTATTCTGTTATCAGAATTAGGTGATGTGAGATGCACTACTTCTAATTTCCTTCCCCCCCATACAATAACAGAACAATGCTTAAGAAGCCTCACATATGTGTAAGCATATGGCATTTCAGAGTTCCAGTTAGCCAAGAAGCATGTACTAATATAATTTTGAGTATCTTCACAGCCCACTCTCAGTTCAGTCACATGGGTCAGAGTTTGTAGACAGACTCTGTAAGAGTACCATCTGGATTTTCCCTGATCTGTACCAGCATTATATAGCAGAAGTTTGGTAAGTGTCACATTTTAGAAGTCTTCACCTGCAAAATTAAGTTTTCTAAATGCAGTCATACCCTCAGAGGTCCACAGAGCTCCAAAAAAGTTCTAAAGATAACACACTATTTCCATCATACATACCCCTCCTTCATCACTCAGAAGTTCTATGAATGTGCTTTCATCAACTTCCATCAAGCGCAGAGAATGTAATCACCCTCACCAGAACATTAACTTTAATTGCTGTACTGGCCCTGTATAAAACACTTGAATTTGTTTTATACGACTGCATGCTAATAAGAAAGCTATTGCCAACCTTTAATCAACAGACTAAATTCAAATGCATCAGTTCGCAATATGCTTTTGCCATTTTTACCTTGACTGAATAGCAAGATAAATTGTACGACGAAAGGAGACCAAGTTAATTTCTGTTTTGTCATGGATAGTCACTTTTTGTCCTGGAAGAAAAAACAAATGAGTATGTTATGAAATACATATAGAAAGTAAAGCAGATGCATACATTCTAACATACAGATATTGTACCTTTACTAAGTGTATAGTTCATTATGTAATAATACCCCATGCACAGACTAATTTTAGGGGCATTTAGGTAGGTATTGTAGATTTGTACAGAACTCCCGTACTTGTGGATGGATAAAAGGACAGAAGCCAAACAGTGCCACTTTTACATTATTCATATTTTACATTAATACACATACTAAGATAAAGAGACCTAGCTGCATTAAAGATTATACCACTAAGTACATTTTATGGACAACTTCCTTTAAAGGCTCAGGGATAACTAGGTGAACAGTTACCTTTTATGAAGTCTTTTTTAAATTTCACTTTTTGCCATTTCCACTTGAACCAGGATTTGAAAATTCCAGGTCTACATTCTTAAATATATTTTTAATATTAAATATATTAATAGATTAATCACAGTAGTTGCTACACCCAGCTACAGAGTTTATGCCAGAACCAGCAATTTCACAAGAAGCTGGATCAAAGTAGTGCAAAGGATATTTTTATGTCATTCACAGGAACAGAGTTAAAAAGGTCAAAATAGCGGCCTTAAAAGCAATTAACATCCTACTTCATATGGGAGTGCCCTTAAAAATCTGCTAGTATGCAATACAAGTGATGACAGGTTTCTCTGAATTGCCATCTTCTTCAGCTTGTGACTGACATTTTGTTTAAAAATATGATTCTGTGACATACTGTATTTACCTGAATCCAAGATGACTTTGAATTTAAGATGACCCCTGAATAATTAGATTCTATGTATGAAAAACCATAAATTTGTTAAAATTTTCCATGTATAACATCTAATTATGGGAGGGTTATCTTAAATTTGCTCCCCTCCCAAATGCTGCAGCAGAGAAAGCAGAAGCATGGGGCAAGTATTGGGGCAACCTGTGGTGAGGGAGGCAGACAACCTGCCCCGTTTTCCTCCATGATCCTGCCTGCCCAATCACTTGCCCCCACCCTGTGATAGCCCCCCCACCATCACTGCCTTGAGGCAGAGGACTCCAGCTCCAGCCACCCCTGTGCTCCAGGCCAGGGCCTAGACCTTATAGCCTCCGTTGCACTCCCCCCAGGGTCAGGGCTGGAGTCAAGAGTTGAAGCCACAAGGAGCCACCTGCCCAGATCAGTACACAAGTCTAACATGAGGTTCCCCCTCCCTAACACTGAATGGGAAAAACCCCCAAAACAAAACCTTGCCTTGGATTCAAGGAAAAATGGTACTACTACACACTACAAATAATATTCTTGGTTTCCCTGTTAGGTTGTGCCCACTTTAAAAGTGGCCATGTAAAAAGTTCTCCTCATTCATCACTACCCTTCAGGAGTAGCATAAAATATTTTTACAAAAATATGTAGACCTGTATGATTGACTGACTGGAGTGAAGAACAAGTATATGTTATTCAGAGCATTGCTATATTATTCTGTCATTAAATCACATTTTTAGTTGAACAGAAAATATGAGTGTGAATTTTAAATGCAACTTTAAAAGTTCAGATACAGCACATATACCCCAAATACTTAAAAGAATTCTTTAAAAAGTTGTTTTTTCTGCTTCTCGGTTTACACATATAGGATCTTTTGGACATGCCAATAGTTCAAACGTACACATGCAAAAAATCCCTTTAAATGGCAATATTTGTTGTTTCAGATCATAACTTGCTATATGCTATTTCTTCTTGGTCTAACAAAATTAAATCAAATTTGCTATACTTAAAATCCTACCTTCTTCATCTTCCTCTTCTTCCTCATCTTCATCTGCCTCACTGCTTCGAGCATCTTGGTCCGTTTCTGAGTCACTGTCACCTTCATCGAGAATTTCTGCAAAAGAGAAAATTCCAAGTTAGCTGACTATAAGTTTGCCTGACTTATTAGTTACTAAGATTCATAGTTTCATAGATTTAGGGTTGGAAGGGACCTAGTAGATCTTCTAGCCCGACCCCCCGCCAGGGCAGGAGAACAACAAAACCCCAAAACAAGAAACGGGACTCAAATGAGTCCAGCCAGGTAGGCATCCAGCCTCTTCTTAAAGACCCCCAGGGTAGGGGCCAGCACCACTTCCCTTGGAAGTTGGTTCCAGCTCCTAGCCGCCCTAACTGTGAAGTAGTTTTTGCGGATGTCCAATCTATACCTCCTCTCCATCAACTTGTGCCCATTACTCCTTGTTATGCCAGCGGGCGCTAGGGGAAACAGCGTCTCCCCCAAACCCTTCTGGTCCCCCCTAGTGAGTCTATAGACGGTCACCAGGTCCCCCCTCAGCCTTCTCTTGTGGAGGCTGAATAGGTTCAGGTCCCGCAGTCTCTCACTGTAGGGTCTGCCCTGTTGTCCCCGGATCATGCGGGTGGCCCTCCTCTGGACCCTCTCCATGTTGTCCACATCCCTCTTGAAATGGGGCGCACAGAACTGGACACAATACTCCAGCTGTGGCCTGACCAGCGTCGCATAGAGGGGGAGGATCACCTCCTTGGCTCTACTCGAGATGCACCTGTGGATGCACGACAAGGTCCGGTTAGCCCTGCCAACCATGACCTCGCATTGTCGGCCCATGTTCATCTTGGAGTCAATAATGACTCCAAGATCTCTTTCTGCCTCCGTGCTCTCAAGTAGGGAGTTCCCCATTGTGTAAGTGTGCTGCTGGTTCCTACTGCCCAAGTGCAGCACCCTGCACTTGTCCGTATCCAAGCAGTGGAAAGTAGGGGTGTGCAAAACAGGCTGTGTTGGATTTGGATTCGACCTGAATCAGGGACAGTGATTCGATTCGTTGATTCGGATCACTGTCCTGATTCTTTTTGGCCGAATCAGAATCTGAAGATTTGATGCTGATTCGGAAAAATCAGAGATTCAGCCATAGGCACAGCTTTAAATGTTTTTTCTACATACCTTGAGGTACCAGGCGCGGCTTGTGAATGCTGTGATGGTGGGGCAGATGGAGCGTCCCACAGCAGCGCAGGGGGACCCCTGCATGCTCGGTGGTGAACCCGGAAGTGGGTCCGCTGCGGAGGCATCCTGGCCCCACTGCAGAACCCACCCCCCGCAGCACCCTGGTTCGGTGATCAGCCATGGGGGGACCCCAGGTGCCCCCCCAGATCAAGGAGGCACCACTCATGGAGCCGGACGGTCATGGTGCAGGGGCCCTGGCAGACCCAGAAGTGGTCTGGAAGTGCTTCTGGTCCATTTCTGGGTCTGCTGCTAAGCGTGCTGAGGACCACCCCCCTGCACTCCTATAGGACGCTCCATCTTCCCCACCATTGCAGCGTTCCATGTCCACCAAACTGAATCAGCGACCAAAGCTTGGCATAGCCTTAGTGGAAAGTATGTCTAACAGAGGAAGAGCCTCACAGACCTGCAACAGTTGCAGCATGTCTTCAACAGAAGTAAGGTATTCATAAAAGAGGACAGAGTAGGGGTACCAAACTTACCCTGGGCCTTGGGCCAGATTTGGACCCTGGGGCACCTCCTTGACCAGATCTGTAAGGGCAGTGGCAATATCGGTGGGGCCAACCATCAACAGAGGGGGTCTGGGGGGAGCAGGAGGGACAAGCTGTGGCAGCAGGGGTTCAGCAGCAGGGGGCAGCCACAGGGCAAGCAAGGACAGCCCTTGCTGCCCCCCTCCCCACTTCAAGGAAAGCAAAGGGTCCTAAATGCTGCAACAAAGCGCAAAGGCCATGTCCTTCAGGGCCCAGGGGCCCCAAGTTCTGCAGCACAGCCCATCCCCTGAACCCATGTCCACTTCTGCAAGCTGGATCTGGCCTAGAGGATGTACATTTAACATCTCCAACTTAGAAAAACGTGGAAGGGAAAGAAAAAAAAAAAGAGATTTTACATGGTCAAGGCACCACATTAAAACATATGGCAGATAGAAGTAAAAATAAAAAGGACTCCCTGATTAAAAGAAGCTGAAATTCAATCAGATGCCAAGAATAAAAATAGTCATTTCTATTCTAAAAAGTTATTACTGAAATTCACATTACATGCTAATTTGATTACCTGCAGAATGTGCCCACAAGCTTCTCTAATATCTTTCCCAACTATACAGTTGATCCAAAGCCACTTTTCTTTTTGCATACTTCCTGCACCACCATGACTACAACACTTACAACCATACTACAGGCTGGTTTGGCATTAACAAGCCAGGGTAGTGTCTGTTAAATATCTGTCAGAAAAGTCACAGTAGACTCGAGAGGAAAACAGTTAACATAGCGGTCCAAGAAGTGGAGATCCACACACACTTTAGAGAGAAAAGATCTCCTTACGAATACTTGACAGACAGCATTACTTGTAAAATAATAAAAGATCTCATACTTGTAAGCTAGTTTTAATCGATCTGCAATATAGAAGTGATGTTAAATCACAAACAATGGGTAAGATTCAAAGGTGAGCATTAAGCTTCCAAAAAAATGTCTGGGACATAAATGTCTGGGACATTCAAGTTTATAAGTAAAATTTAGTATTGCTAATATTTATGGACCACTTAAACAACAACAAAAATGGTTTGCATCAAAATACAAACTTATACATATGTTACCTGCTACATTATGTGACTAAGAAAAGTAAGCTTGACTTAAAACTACTAACTTTTACCTCAGCAGCAAATGTGTATTTCGTAATCTTTTTAGTCAGAATACACAAAACTATCTTTAACCCAACTTAAATCTTTTCACATACTATATAGTTTTATACCCCAGTGGAATGCTTGCATGAACCTGGTTTATAAAAATCACAGAACGATAAGGCTGAAAGGGACCTTAGGAGGTCATCTAGTACAACTCTTACTCAAACCAGGATCAGTCTTTACCAAACCAAGTACTCATCTAACCTGCTTTTAAAGACTTCCAAGGAGGGAGATTCCACAACTGAGTAACCTATTCCAAATTTTGACCACTCTCATCGTGGTGGCCTTCCTAATAATTCTTCCTAATAGCCATTCTAAATTCCCTTGTTGCAATTTAACACTGTTGTTTCTATTCCTGTCCTCCATGGACGTAGAGTATTGTCTAACACAGGGATGTCCAACCTTTTTGAATGTGGGGCCGGATCACGAACTTTTTATCACCCTGTGGGCCGGCAAGCCATATTCAAAGACTTCACAGGAAGTGGTGTCACATCAGGAAGTGATGTCACGTGACCTTTGACACCAATGAAGTTGCAGGAA